GTTAAGTTATGAATAATTCAAAAACATTTGTTGTATGTTCACTGATTTAAAAGATACATGGAGTACAAAAAAAAGTACTAAAATACAGCTTTTACCCGTTTATTCCCTAAAGGGGCCTAATTTGAAAAAAGTGCCAGACACATGTTAGCTTATTTTTAAATGAACGAGGATAAGCTTTAAACTATTTTTGTATCTTTTCTAGTTTAGGAAATTACCCATTTACAGAATTTACCCATTTTTACCCCCTAAACATTCGAACTTCCAAAAATCCCGTTTTCATCCATTTAGGTTGTGCGATGATGAATCATTCAGTCAATAAGTCAGTAACATTCGAATTTTTTATATATAGATATTTGAATGTTTTCCATTTTCTTTATTCCTTCTCCAAAAACAGTTATAGAGTCACCAAAAAATAGTATTTAAATAATAATTCTGGAATCCTTATGATATTAGTTTCCTGACTTGTAAACGAATCTATTGGTCTTCCTTCTCTAATCAAGAGAATTAATTTTAATATTTTTATACCCTACACCACTTTAGTGGGGAGGGTATATTGGATTTGTGCTGATGTTTGTAACATACAAAAATATTCGACCTAGACCTTAAAGTATACCAATCAGCTTAGAATCGTTTTCTGAGTCGATTAAGCTATGTCCGTCCGTCCGTCCGTCTGGCTGGCTGTCCATGAAAACCTTGTGCGCAAGGTACAGGTCGCAATTTTCAAGATAATTGGATGAAATTTGGCACGCACGTTTTATTTGACCCTTTATTTCACCTAGCCCCCATAGAACAGAACCCCCCGAAAAGGGCTTCTGAGCTCATAATTATGTTAAATATATAGATATATCGATACGGCTCAACTAATTTTTATAGAAGTCTTGATGACCCTGCCAAATTTCATAAAGATCGGGCCCCATTTGACCCTAGCTCCCATACAAAGTCCCCTTCAGAAAATTACTTGAATGTCTCAAATTAACTTATAAACACAAATATCGCGATGAAATTCAGCACAATAAAATGTTATGTAAATATAAATATATTCACAAAATTTTATCGGGCTTGGTCCATATTTGCCCCTAGCCCCCATATAAAGCCTCTTTCAGAAAATTTGTTTTTCATCCATAAATTGCTTAAATGTATCGGAACAAGGGAATATTGAAGATAAATGCTTTATTATGAAAAATAAATCACATTTAATATTCATAACTGGAGTAGGGTATCTTATGGTCGGCCACGCCCGACTATACTTTCTTACTTGTTTTATTATTAAAATGCATTTTTTATTTTTTAAAGCAATAGCTATTACTACTTAATTTTTCAATTAAATTCTATAGAATACGATTTTTTATTTTGTCCTAAATGGATTCCTTAAAATTTGGATTAAATAAAAAAAAAACACTCTATCATAAATAGCTTTATGAAAGTAAAAATACATGCATGTTTATATCCTTAAACGCACTTAATGTACAACTGCAACATTCCACATCCTGTGCATCCTGTTTAATACCAGTTTTTTTCCCTTTAGCTTTTTTCATTTAAACTCTCATATAATTTTATATCTTGTGTCGTATGGTGACAATTAATAAAAAAAACCTGCAACATTTCCTTTTTAATGTTATTTTCATGTGCATACAAATTTTTTATTTGTCTGTGAGTTTTTTTTTTCATTAAATATGTTGTGGTTGTCATTAAACTTTGTAAAATGGAAAAATATGTGGTTTTTCCTGGATATTTATTTAAAAAATAATATTCTCCATACAGATATAAAGAGAGCAACAACTACATACTTACATATGGATATGTGTAATTGTGTGTATACCTACATATGTATGTGTGTTATATAGTAAATTAAACATTTTTTTTTTTCGAAAAACTCATGAAAAAAATATTAATTTTTATAGTGTGGGAATTTTTTGGTCGAAAAAATTTAAATGATAAAATTATATACACATAATACTTGTAATAATAAAAAAAAACAACATAGCAAACATATGAAACAACGAAAACAATAATCGGCAAAAAAGGAAGTTTAAACATATTAAACATGACACTCGAAAATATATATTTTTACTTTTAATTTAAAGTAGTACGGTTTTTTCTCTTAAATCAATTTTTAATAACTCATTTTTGTGTCTGCAATTTTTACTGCATTTTTTTATTTGCATTTAATCAGAATTGTATAATTCATTTGAGGGTTTTTAATGGTTATTTTGCGTTATATTTCTTTATTTAATATTGGTTTTTCATTTATTTTCATTATTGTTCGTGTAATAATATCCATTTTACTTTCAATTGATTGTTTTAAATAACATTAACAGGTTGGCATAAATATTTTACAATTCATTTAATAATGATATGACGTACTTTTTCTCATCAATCTTTTTTTTGTGATAAATATTAAATGAATTAAAATTTAACTTGTCAAATAATTGAAGCAAATGTTAAACATGGAAAGTGTCAAGTGTTTGCAAATTATTAGCGTGTTAAGTATTTCCAATGATTTGACGATGCACATTTTTAAAACCAATAGATCCATCCTCATATAAAAGAGATTTTGGCGTAACAACCAAAAAATTTAAAAACAACTTTTTGATTGAAAATAGTTCACTGCAGTACAATATATGTTGTTGCAAATTTTAAAGAACTCTATTGTCAAAAACATCGACTTTATTGAAATAAAATTCAAAAGGGCGTTACAACAAATTAGTCATACCCAGAAGTCTGAAAGACCTAAAAAGCAAAATAATAGACAAGGTCTAGCGGTACTGTTATATCCAAACTTGTTAATCGATGTTGGGATACAATATTTGTAAATTTTATAACAACAATAGCTTGGCATATACTCTTCTTTTGAACCAAGGAAAATGGATAAAATCGGTTCACTGTTTCGCCTAGCCCCTATACAACCGTACCTCCGGAATAGAGCTTTTGAGCTTATAATTATGTTAAGTCTTGTAGAATCTCTACAAAAATCGGAAAATCTTTGTTTTATATAATTTTAATTGATATTGCCTATTTTTTAAGCTTTTCTCTACCAAAATCGGTCCCTATAGAACCCCTCATAGAGGAAATCACTTTATTGTCAATAAATAAATCCTTTAAATTAAGGTATTTATCATGAAATTAAATGAAATTCAAAAAACTCGGTAATGACTTGTACTTATATAACCAATTACTACCACATACCGTCTGTATTACTTACGTAAGTAATTTATTTTGAGTTCGTGTTGTGTTGTGAGTAAGACAGCAAACTAACGAACAAGAAGCCCAGGTTCATATTCTGTGTGAACGATTTTTGTTTGTTTTTAAAACATAACAACATTTAAACTCCTTATTTGTATGTACTTATTTGTAAGCGTCGTGGTAAGTACTTGCATCCAATGTCATCACCGTGTTAAAATAATGAGTTTAAATGCTTATGCATAAGTAGTAAAAAGCTTTTTTTCAGCTTTTTAACTCATTAAATTTCAATGTAGTTTTTTGCTGGGAACTAGTCACTATCTCGAGTTCTAAAAAGTTCAGACCATAATTGACCGAAAAAAAACAATAAAATGCCCTCTTCTGAAAATCACTTTGTTCAATATCGATATATTTCCAGGATTTGATGGTGGTTATATATAATTCAGCATTGTCGAATATAATATTCTTACCAACAGACACATGCGATTTAGTTCCTGTCCGCCTGTCAGTCTGTCTGTCTGTCTGTCCGTCTGTCTGTCTGTCCGTCTGTGTGTCTATCGGTATGTATGTATGTCTGTCTGTCGGTCTGTCTGTCTGTCTGTTTGTCTGTCTGTCTGTCTGTCTGTCTGTCTGTCTGTCTGTCTGTCTGTCTGTCTGTCTATCTGCCTGTCTATATGTTTGTGCGTCGGTGTGTCAATGTAAACTTTGTTTTAATACTATTTTAAATTAAATATTTCTCTTATAAACTCGCAATGACTTGCTGCATGCATTGCATTGTTGCATTGAACTGACTGTCTGAACACAAATTAACAAAGGGTTACTGGTTGTAACTATAAATATTTTCACTTAAATCGAAGCCAAGTCAGAAAGTATAGTCGGGCTTGGTCGACCTGCTGATACCCCACATAAGTTATAAGCACATTTTAAATGTTATCTATATCAATAATAAGGCTTTTATAAAAACACTTTTTACCTTAATTCCGATATATTTAATGAAAACTGATTTTGTACAAATTCATAAAATTTTTTATAAGAAATTATATTTATATAAGAGTTATCTATGCAAAATTTTTTGGAGCGTTTATAAGTGAATTATAGAATCACAAGGTTTTGAACAAAAATGGCGTATGTGACAAATTTCATTGAATTATTTGAAATGTTCTACTTATATTTTGCGGGCGTATCTTAATCCACTCAAAAAATTAATCTTTATCAATTGATATACATACGACATAATATCCTTCCCGCTACAGTGGTATGGTGTATACAAATTAATGGATTACATGCCTATGCCAGGATGTTTCGAAAATAGAATATCGTATGTAAATAGTTGTTTAAACGTTTCAAAAGTATATATTACACATAATTGATTTTTAATAATACAAAAAAAAAAAAAAAAATAATAATAATAATAATTAATTTACTCTTTACTAAATAAATATTTGACTAAAGATTAAGCTTGTTGTAAACAATATTAAAATTTTTTAAATCACTATTTTTCTGTGACCCTTAAATCACTGCATTAAATTTTCACTTAATACGCTCGATAAATATATAAAATAAACTCTTTATATAAATAATATGTGGCATGTGTGTCGATAAATAGTATATGAAATTATAGTAGAGATGGCAAATGATTTATATTTGTATATGACAATTGAATTACGTTTGATTTTATTAATTTGAATATTTAATTAAAATACAACAAAACTCAATTCAAATGAAATATACAAAAGAACTGTTAAAAAAAGAACTAAAGAAAAAAAATACATCATGAACATTTAAGAGCACTCAATTAATTGCTTTAAAGTTGGCTTAAAATTAAAAAAAAATAAAAACTTTATTAAAAATAATATTTTAAAATTTAGTTTTCATTATTTTTAAACATATAAAATATATATTTGAGTTATTATATCTAAACTTAGTGTACCCTATATAAAGCATAAGCCATTGTCATACTTTTCTTTAACACTGTACAAATATAAAACATTTTTTCCCATAATTTAGTTTTAAACTATAACATCTTTTTTAACATCATTAGGGTTTTTTTTGTTAATTTATTTAATTTAATATAGTCCTATTATAAGTATATACGTAAGTAAGTATATGTGTGTGAGTTTATGCATGATGTAGTTTTGTATATATAATTATGTGTCTGATTTATATCATATATAAATAAACATATACTATACATACATATTTATATAGTTTTTTGTAATTTTAGTTGCTTTTGTATATTTAATTGTATATTTTCATTTTTATTTTGTTTAATTAATATTATGTCCTAAACATTTCTTATTATAAATATTTATTTTTTTAATGTCATGTTATTTTTATAATTCCTGACCTTCTACTCACTTGTTGTATGGAATCGACTTTTGTCGTTGACATCCGTTTCCAGCTGACTCTGCTCAGTTGCATGGTAACTTGGATAAGCGTGAATAAAGTTAAAATGATTAATAAATTTGAGCTGCAGTTATTTTGTCTTAGACTGGTGGCTGCACTATTTTCTGGCCAAACAACTTCGACTTCAGCCATTTTAAAAATGCTTAATAGTCGGTGGGATTGTAATTCATGGTGTTCGGCATTTATGTGATGACTAATGGTTTTGAGAACAGAGGTACATTCCTCCTAGAAAGTGAAAATAGGGTGAGAAATTGAAAAAACGATTAATTGGATAATCTTAGCTAGTTAGTTTTAACCTAAACAGTAAAAAAAATTATAAACAGGTGTGACCAACAATATGAAACCAGATATTTGCTATATGTATATTAAAAGTCAATTGTACACCGAACTTTAGGAAAAATTTACAAAAATTTAACCATATGGATATATGTATATAAGTATGTTTATCATCTCAGAAAATAACTGTTAAAATATATACATCTAATTACCTTTTCTTTTTTTAATAAATCAATGGCCTTTAATTTTGCATCGTGTGGTAAACGGGCAGCTATAATAATATTTTCTTCTGTCATGTTGAATAAAGTCAAAGTACATTGTGTCTGCAAATGAAAGCAATTTTAAAACAATTAAATAAATATTTTCTTCTTAACATTATTAAACAATTGCAAGAATTCTGTAATTTAATTACAGTTACTATACCTGATTATCAATGTAGGTGGTTACGTATTGTTGCAAAGCTCTAACAGCATCTTGAACTCCCAAATTAGTATGTGGCCTTAATAGAGCTTCATCTTCGGAACTGTAGCCCAGCATAAGAAAAACTCCACCTTTTATTAGAAAATAAAAACAAAGAATGATATTTTAACATACTCATGGGTACATATAATTTATAGTTTAAGGATTTTCTATACTTGAATTACGATTTAACTACACGCACATTTTAAATCATTTATAAAATTACATTTAACTTGCACATAAATTGCACACACTTTGGCTATCTCTCTTTATATAAATAATCTTTAGATATTTTCTTTTTTGGTATTTTTTTATTGTGGTTGGTTTGAAGTTTGCTGTTTAGTGTATAAAGTATTTAATCATCATCGTTTATTATAAACTGAAATCATTACCCAAGGTGTAATATAATCTACCAAGCTTATTTTCTGACGTTATTTTTTCCTCTTTAATTCTTCAACTATAATTTTCTGACAACTTCTCCTCTATATTATTGTTTTTCATAGCGATTTGGATTAAAATATGCTGTTGAATGGTGGTATTTAAAGGTATGCGATCTTTCTAAGATGAACGAAATTCTAGTTCAGTTCTAGTTCAGTTCTAGTTCAGTTCTAGTTCAGTTCTAGTTCAGTTCTAGTTCAGTTCTAGTTCAGTTATAGTTCAGTTCTAGTTCAGTTCTAGTTCTAGTTCAGTTCTAGTTCAGTTCTAGTTCTAGTTCAGTTCTAGTTCTCTAGTTCAGTTCTAGTTCAGTCTAGTTCAGTTCTAGTTCAGTTCTAGTTCAGTTCTAGTTCAGTTCTAGTTCAGTTCTAGTTCAGTTCTAGTTCAGTTCTAGTTCAGTTCTAGTTCAGTTCTAGTTCAGTTCTAGTTCAGTTCTAGTTCAGTTCTAGTTCAGTTCTAGTCAGTTCTAGTTCAGTTCTAGTTCAGTTCTAGTTCAGTTCTAGTTCAGTTCTAGTTCAGTTCTAGTTCAGTTCTAGTTCAGTTCTAGTTCAGTTCTAGTTCAGTTCTAGTTCAGTTCTAGTTCAGTTCTAGTTCAGTTCTAGTTCAGTTCTAGTTCAGTTCTAGTTCAGTTCTAGTTCAGTTCTAGTTCAGTTCTAGTTCAGTTCTAGTTCTAGTTCAGTTCTAGTTCAGTTCTAGTTCAGTTCTAGTTCAGTTCTAGTTCAGTTCTAGTTCAGTTCTAGTTCAGTTCTAGTTCAGTTCTAGTTCAGTTCTAGTTCAGTTCTAGTTCAGTTCTAGTTCAGTTCTAGTTCAGTTCTAGTTCAGTTCTAGTTCAGTTCTAGTTCAGTTCTAGTTCAGTTCTAGTTCAGTTCTAGTTCAGTTCTAGTTCAGTTCTAGTTCAGTTCTAGTTCAGTTCTAGTTCAGTTCTAGTTCAGTTCTAGTTCAGTTCTAGTTCAGTTCTAGTTCATTCTAGTTCAGTTCTAGTTCAGTTCTAGTTCAGTTCTAGTTCAGTTCTAGTTCAGTTCTAGTTCAGTTCTAGTTCAGTTCTAGTTCAGTTCTAGTTCAGTTCTAGTTCAGTTCTAGTTCAGTTCTAGTTCAGTTCTAGTTCAGTTCTAGTTCAGTTCTAGTTCAGTTCTAGTTCAGTTCTAGTTCAGTTCTAGTTCAGTTCTAGTTCAGTTCTAGTTCAGCTCTAGTTCAGTTCTAGTTCTAGTTCTAGTTCAGTTCTAGTTCAGTTCTAGTTCAGTTCTAGTTCAGTTCTAGTTCAGTTCTAGTTCAGTTCTAGTTCAGTTCTAGTTCAGTTCTAGTTCAGTTCTAGTTCAGTTCTAGTTCAGTTCTAGTTCAGTTCTAGTTCAGTTCTAGTTCAGTTCTAGTTCAGTTCTAGTTCAGTTCTAGTTCAGTTCTAGTTCAGTTCTAGTTCAGTTCTAGTTCAGTTCTAGTTCAGTTCTAGTTCAGTTCTAGTTCAGTTCTGGTTCAGTTCTAGTTCAGTTCTAGTTCAGTTCTAGTTCAGTTCTAGTTCAGTTCAGTCAGTTCTAGTTCAGTTCTAGTTCAGTTCTAGTTCATTTCTAGTTCAGTTCTAGTTCAGTTCTAGTTCAGTTCTAGTTCAGTTCTAGTTCAGTTCTAGTTCAGTTCTAGTTCTAGTTCTAGTTCAGTTCTAGTTCAGTTCTAGTTCTAGTTCTAGTTCAGTTCTAGTTCAGTTCTAGTTCAGTTCTAGTTCAGTTCTAGTCAGTTCTAGTTCAGTTCTAGTTCAGTTTCAGTTCAGTTCTAGTTCAGTTCTAGTTCAGTTCTAGTTCAGTTCTAGTTCAGTCTAGTTCCGTTCTAGTTCAGTTCTAGTTCAGTTCTAGTTCAGAGTTCTAGTTCTAGTTCTAGTTCAGTTCTAGTTCAGTTCTAGTTCAGTTCTATTTCAGTTCTAGTTCAGTTCTAGTTCAGTTCTAGTTCAGTCTAGTTCAGTTCTAGTTCAGTTCTAGTTCAGTTCTAGTTCAGTTCTAGTTCAGTTCTAGTTCAGTTCTTAGTCAGTTCTAGTTCAGTTCTAGTTCAGTTCTAGTTCAGTTCTAGTTCAGTTCTAGTTCAGTTCTAGTTCAGTTCTAGTTCAGTTCTAGTTCAGTTCTAGTTCAGTCTAGTTCAGTTCTAGTTCAGTTCTAGTTCAGTTCTAGTTCAGTTCTAGTTCAGGTTCTAGTTCAGTTCTAGTTCAGTTCTAGTCAGTTCTAGTTCAGTTCTAGTTCAGTTCTAGTTCAGTTCTAGTTCAGTTATGTTCAGTTCTAGTTCAGTTCTAGTTCAGTTCTAGTTCAGTTCTAGTTCAGTTCTAGTTCAGTTCTAGTTCAGTTCTAGTTCAGTTCTAGTTCAGTTCTAGTTCAGTTCAGTAGTTCAGTTCTAGTTCAGTTTCTAGTTCAGTTCTAGTTCAGTTCTCAGTTCAGTTCTAGTTCAGTTCTAGTTCAGTTCTAGTTCAGTTCTAGTTCAGTTCTAGTTGCAGTTCTAGTTCCAGTTCTAGTCAGTTCTAGTTCAGTTCTAGTTCAGTTCTAGTTCAGTTCTAGTTCAGTTCTAGTTCAGTTCTAGTTTCAGTTCTAGTCAGTTTTAGTTCAGTTCTAGTTCAGTTCTAGTTCAGTTCTAGTTAGTTCTAGTTCAGTTCTAGTTCAGTTCTAGTCAGTTCTAGTTCAGTTCTAGTTCAGTTCTAGTTCAGTTCTAGTTCAGTTCTAGTTCAGTTCTAGTTCAGTTCTAGTTCAGTTCTAGTTCAGTCTAGTTCAGTTCTAGTTCAGTTCAGTTCTAGTTCAGTTCTAGTTCAGTTCTAGTTCAGTTCTAGTTCAGTTCTAGTTCAGTCTAGTTCAGTTCTAGTTAAGTTCTAGTTCAGTTTCGTTAGTCTAGTCAGTTCTAGTTCAGTTCTAGTTCAGTTCTAGTTCAGTTCTAGTTCAGTTCTAGTTCAGTTCTAGTTCAGTTTCTAGATTCAGTTCTAGTTCAGTTCTAGTTCAGTTCTAGTTCTAGTTTCTAGTTCAGTTCTAGTTCGTCTAGTTCAGTTCTAGTTCAGTTCTAGTTTCAGTTCTGTCAGTAGTTCAGTTTAGTTCAGTTCTAGTTCAGTTCTAGTTCAGTTCTAGTTCAGTTCGTTCAGTTCTAGTCAGTTCTAGTTCAGTTCTAGTTCAGTTCTAGTTCAGTTCTAGTTCAGTTCTAGTTCAGTTCTAGGTTCAGTTCTAGTTCAGTTCTAGTTCAGTTCTAGTTCAGTCTAGTTCAGTTCTAGTTCAGTTCTAGTTCAGTTCTAGTTCAGTTCTAGTTCAGTTCTAGTTCAGTTCTAGTTCAGTTCTAGTTCAGTTCTATTCATTCTAGTTCTAGTTCTAGTTCAGTTCTAGTTCAGTTCTAGTTCAGTTCTAGTTCAGTTCTAGTTCAGTTCTAGTTCAGTTCTAGTTCAGTTCTAGTTCAGTTCTAGTTCAGTTCTAGTTCAGTTCTAGTTCAGTTCTAGTTCAGTTCTAGTTCAGTTCTAGTTCAGTTCTAGTTCAGTTCTAGTTCAGTTCTAGTTCAGTTCTAGTTCAGTTCTAGTTCAGTTCTAGTTCAGTTCTAGTTCAGTTCTAGTTCAGTTCTAGTTCAGTTCTAGTTCAGTTCTAGTTCAGTTCTAGTTCAGTTCTAGTTCAGTTCTAGTTCAGTTCTAGTTCAGTTCTAGTTCAGTTTTAGTTCAGTTCTAGTTCAGTTCTAGTTCAGTTCTAGTTCAGTTCTAGTTCAGTTCTAGTTCAGTTCTAGTTCAGTTCTAGTGTTAAAATAGCAACATTTAAAATCATTTTCCTATTTATACTAAAGATATACATAAATATAATTAAAAAATAAAAAAAAAAAAACTTTAATTAATCCTTTTAAATTTCTGCTAGTAATATGTTCTGTGTACATTGCTCAATGCATAAAATACACTGAGTAACTGAATGATGCAGTAGTATAATACAGTTGCATCAAATCTTAGATATCATACAACCAAACTGACACACAAACACATAAGTTCAAGTAATAACACAGACAACAATTACAACCATTTCAATTCCCCGCTGATACGCAATCACAATCACAAAAAACAAAAGACACAGAAAAAATCTTTAATAATGGCTGTTGCAAAGTAGCAACTAGAGAATGATGATGATTACTTACCTGGCAGGGAATAGTCACCTAGCGGTGGTTTCATACATATAAAACGTCCCGAATAACAAAGACAACGACCACGGAATGCTTGATACGCGGGCGAAGCATGACTATAAAATGCCAAAGCTGTACGGCATGGAGCAAATGGCACGCAAAGGGCATGACAGGTTAGTGTTAGTGATTCACCGCAGCTGCATAATTCACTGCATTCAGCATCGTCCAAAGAGTAAATCTGTTAAGTAATCATAAAATGAAAGATGAAAAAATATATGTATATGAAGACAATAACATTAAATAGAGGAAAAAACAAGAATATTTGAAGGATGAATAAGAAAGAATAAGAGAAACAGGAAGTAATAAGAAGTTTTATAGGAATTATGGATACTAGCATGAAGGAGTTGTAGTTTTGTTCACTGTTGGATTAAAGTTAAATATGTTCTTTTTTGTTTCAAATGCACAAAAAATAAATTTATTTAATATTAAAGCAAATTAGACGCTTTAGCTGATCACACAGCTATTCTTGAAAAAAAAAATTTTAAATCAGGGAGTAGAGTTTACTTTTTAAACAGGTGTTCAAGATATCTTAACATAATCTATGAATGCAGGAATTTTTTGCTACATTTCGTTTGCTGTCAATTTTTTTCCTAAAAAGTTATTTTTAAATTGTTAAGATATCTCTTCTATTCACCAGAGATATTAATTTCATCGCCCGTATAATAAATTTAGTACAGTTTTAATTTTTCCTATAACTAACATCTATTTAAGACAGACTAGCTTTAAATGATGATAAATTATCAATACAAAATTAAAATTTTTTAACAATATATAACAAGATCAATCTTTAACTTACTCTTTTGCTAGTTCCCTCTCTTATCAGCTGATCCGATTGGTGGGGTCTTTGTACGACACAGTTTCCTAAAAACAAAAGTTTTTATTACAATTTAAAGTTAAATAGAATAATTTTAACAAAATTTTTGCTGTCATAAGTAATTATATTTTAATATTCAATGAAATACATATTTGTAATTCTTTTATGGCCTATTTTGTATGATAAACTAAGTCAGTAAACCCAAAATAAACCATTGATAACTTTATGAATAGAGGGGTTAGTCGCTTGTTCCTAACCTTATTTTCTAAGTACATGTTATTACAAAAATACAAAATGATAAAGTAAATATAATAAATCAAATGAAAATACAACTAGCATCATGTGTAGAAAAAAGGAAAAAAGAAATAAATAGAGATGAAATTATAACGGCGACAATAATAAGGACAATAAAAAATATACTCTTTCTCATACACACACTTGTTGTAGTAGTGACAATAAAATGGACAAATACTCTCCATACACATATACGCTCAATCAAATTCACAGTTATTTATATAGAAACACACATCCTTGTAAAATCAACCATTTCTACAACAATATTTATAAAGTACACACGCGAGTATAATAACAAAGGATCATCATTTAATATAATCCTTCACAATTTATACTCACATTTCTGTATGTCTTCTGTTTCCATTTAGAATTGAGCTTTAGTATATACATATGAGTGTACATATACATATGAAGTGCTACTAGATGTGTGACGATTACAAATGACAGTTACACATTTACGCATTCACTTATATTTAGAATTGTTCAAGACTGCACAGTGGTACCAATAAGTTACCAATTTATAAAGACGTATTTGTTTCTATATTCCTCAAAAGCCGAAAGAAATAAAGTCTAGGTAAATATTAATAATATGGTTCCACTACATTGCACAGTGGGGCAAAAGTAAAACAATTTGAAAATAAACAAGATTTGTCTACAAATTAGAATATATTAAGTAGAATCGATTTCTATTCGATTAGGGGAAAGAATTTTATTCTTTAATCCAGCTTACTTGACGACAAAACGAAAATGTTGAATGAACTAAATTTTCCATTCTGGGGACCACCATAACGAATACCCTTTTCATTAAACTGAATCATATAAAAATAGTATTTCTCATTTCTTAGATTAAATTAATAGAGTTTATTAACTTTTTAAAAAGTGAAGCTTCAAATAAATTTCTTTCTTAATTAAAGTAAAAAAAAATATTATGTAGAAAATTAATGTTATATGGATAACTATATTTAATAATATTTAATTACTCGATCAAAATAATTCTGTAAACCGTACGAGAGTTTAACGATTGAATACCCTAATAATTATTTTGTATCATATATTATTACTTGCTCTTTCCATTTCAAATTCTTGCTTTTACTAGTTTTAATAATATTTAGTACTTGTAGTTGTGTACATAGTAAATGTTGAAATAGTTATTTGTAGAAAATATAAATGTCTTTGGTATTACATGAACATGGTGCCAACATTAACAACATCAATGTTAAACAACGCCAAAACGGATGTCCGCTATTCATGTTAAAGCATTCATCATGTCATCATTGCTGTCTTTGTTGTTGGTTGTACAACTTGCTAAATTACACACATCTACATTTAACTCATTCAGTTTGCTATGTATTCCCTGTAGTTCTTACGTCATCACTTGATTGGTTAATTATTAAATTTCTTCGAAATTTCTCATATTTCTAACTAACTCTTTATAGGATCTTATAACGTCTCATTGATTACTTAAAATACGAGATAAGGTATCAAGTGCTTTCTGCAATAAGTTGTTACCCACAGAATTAGCGGGTACTTTTTCACATTAAACTGTAACACACTAACTGATATTCACTTAATATGATGTTGGTTGGTCAACGTTGGTCATGGTCATTCATGTTAAAATTCTGTAGTAGTTTTTATTTTATGTGAGATTGTAAGCTGGAAAATACGCAAGTATACAAGTATATATTTATGTGTGATTTCAATTTTTTTGTGTTTGTTTTCTCTTTGTCTTTTTCACTTGAGTAAGAAGAGGTTTATTTGTATGATGACATGGATTTGTTATTACAAAAAACATTGACACACATACATGTATACTATGTGGTTAAATGTAGGGCGTTAAAAGCCTTCAAATAGGCCTTAATTATTGGATATAAAAGTTAAATGAGACAAACGGTAAATAAAATAGACAATCAGTATAAAATATATTTCATGCTAGGATCAGTGAAATTATATTATTTTCTCGGATTGTCCGTAAAGCAGAACCGAAATAAATAATAATCTTAATGGGTTTTTGGAGAGGCCCGTCTTATAAAGGCCTTTTAATTATTACCACTGGTTGTGTACATACATACATATCTATCACATAGCCATTCATATCTATGTCATCATATAGAAATACAGATGGTCTACAATTATTTTACTACTCGTTGTCGTTATATTGTGCTTCAAATCGTACTCATATGTTCAACTTGACAGACCAAATGTGCGTGTACTTCTTAATAGTCTACATAATGTGTGAATAATAGTGTTATATAT